TTTAAAGCCCTCTATTTAGCTCTTGGCTAATAGAGTAGAATAAACACATATAGTTATAATGCTAATTTTCTTCTTTCTTCTTTCTCTATAAAATGGTTTGTAACTCCTCACTACTCATATTAAGAGTTAGGAATAGGAATATGCCAAGTTAGGCTTTAATTAAATAGGACAAGCCTATAACATATGCCTTAAGCCTAAGCCTACGATAAGCTTAGCTTGGCCTAAAGCCTTTTTAAAGACCTACTTCATATGTAGGCCTTTTAAAAGGCTTATGACTTTAGGCCTCAATATTTTTAAGTAGGATTCAAGCTTATCAAAGCCTATATTTTTATAATTTAAGTATACTTAAATGCTTTAAATATATTATAATATATAAATTTAAATATAATATAACAAACACACACATATAAATGTAAAAAATGCATAAATATACCTAAACAGACTAGGCCTATATGCTTATAGGCTAGCCTATAAAAATTTAGGCCTGGCTTGTTTAAGTATATAAGCCTCAAGGCTATAGGCTTGGCCTCTTTATGAATAGGCAAGGGTAGGCACTAACCAAACTAGATTGTAGGGTGCTATATGTATGGCCTACTCCTACCCTTACTGGGAGTGATTTGTAACATCCTAATTTTCAATTAAAATTAATAGTGAAAATTAAGGTTTATTGAGGAAATTAATTGAGAATCCTTGTTATTATTGAGGTTGGATTGATGAAAAATAAATTAAAGATTTCATTACTGTGAGGATTGGTGGTGAAATGAATTGAAATTAAGGTTAATTGAGATTAATCTTATAATTAGACTATGATGAATGATTTAAGTTGGAGCTAGGTTGATATTCTAAGATTAAACAAAGTCCAATATAGGTATTGGACTGGACTGGGCCTAATGTTGCAGGTTAAACGAGGAAGGCAACCACTGCATCATGTGCTGCGACATAAGATGTGCCCACAACGGCACATGACATGTAAACAAACTTAATTGTTTGTTCGATAGATAAAAAAAACATAAGAAAGGGAGGAGTGGGTTAGGTGCAAAATTATTTCCCTTTGTTAGGGCTTAGTGAAGCCATTACTTTCTTACACTTTAGAGGCTTAAACCACTAAGATAAACTTGTATAAACTCATTCTTACCCTTTAGTCATCTATTCTAGCTAGGTTTCCATGGTTTTGGTGTTAGGGCTTTCCATAGGTTAGGATTCCAACCCTTAGGTTTAAATCATATAGGTGTCTTGACATTAAATCAGCTTGGTTTAAATTGTTTTGAGGCTGTTTAAATTAAGGTAATATGAGAGTTTAATTTGAAAACCCTAGATTATTTAGGCAATTTAATGATATTTGGAGTATGTAGAGGTTAAATAAGTTATTAGAAGGTATGATGATGATGATTATTAGTTTATTTAAGATTTTAAATGGTGATAACAACTTTAGGTTAACTAGGTTAATTAACCTAACTCTAGGATTAGGGTGTGATTAGGGTGCTAACACTTTAATTAGTGTTAATTAACACTTTATTACCTATAGTTAATATTGTATGGTATGTAGATTGTGGTAAAAACATCAAGGAAAGTGAAGGTGTTCTTGTACAGGGAGCTTTAATTGCAAGAAAGTGAGGAAACCACTATTAATGTGTGAAGGTGTGTGTTTTGTGATTTGTTATGTGTGTTTGTTTCTATTTGACTGTAAATGTGTTGAGAAAAGCATGTTTTTATTGTTAGAAAAATAATTTCAAGGTGAGATTATTATTACATATGTTAATATGAATATTTTGTTTGGATATGAATATTGTTTGGAAGTATATATAAATTATTTGGTTATATTTTGTTTAGTTGTTTGATAGCATGGCATGTTGAGTTTGTTTGGAAGATATGTATTATCTAGATATTTTGTCTGGAGTTGTTATCCTACCACATGGTAAGTGTTCATTGAACCTAATGAGTGGCTATTAGCTTAGACCAACCCACCTTTAGCTAAGTAATTTGGATCTAAGCACAAAGTTATAAGGGATATAAGATGTTGTAATGACCTCAGTTAACCAACACTTTCAATGAAAGGATCAACTATGGCTTTTACATTTAACACATTTATTAAGCGACAATTGTAAATTGGGATCCCAAGATAATTAAAGTTTAAATAGGACATTTTTCTAAAGTCAAGGTGTTTGAAATAGGTGCGGAAGCATGGAAATATCAAACCTTACATGGAACAAAAGGACTAAAAAGGATGAAAAAAAAAGTCATTTTGATATACTGCCCTTGCTCACCATGGCTAAGAGTACCTTTATCATGACCAATTGCATTTTGACTTGCTTACTTTAGCCAAGACACTCTCATTGCTACCTATGCACAAGTACTTACTCATTGCAGTGGATATTACGCTCACCATGGCCAACCCTATTTAAACACCCTCTTTGAGGCTATTGTCACTTACACCACGACCTATTGCGTAGATGCCTCCTTGCCGTAACCAACAACCTTCCTCAACCAACACAACCATACATACTCATCACAACCACAAGAGTTACTCTCCATGATGAGCTCTACATTATCAACCTAGCCATGATAGTATGTAGATTAAACCTTCAACCCTTGTAATTAATCACTTGGTCCTCCTATGATAATGAGCCAAGCTTTCACATGTAATTAAATGAGCAATACAACTCCTAATACCATTGACCGTACACTTTCATACTAATTGAGGATCTTGGCACATTATGTGACAACTTGAGTCCTTAGACTCTTTACAGAAGCACAAGTACCTCCCCTTAATTAGCAATCAAACTTACAAGTTTAGTCATGCATAAATACTCTATTTAACATTATAATGCACTATAAGCAAGTAAAACAAGTTAATTTTACTATCCACACAGTTGCATAGTTGACCTCTTGATGAGGTGCAGTCATTATCATTTAGTGTTGGTTAGATAATGTTCAAGCTATATTTTTATAATTGGTTGTGGGCATGAACCTACTTGGTGGCTTACTAGGGCAAGTGCCCCCACAAGGTTAAAAAAAATAATTACTATAAAAAATGACCCAAAACATTTTTTATACCCCAAAAAGTTTCAATTGCCCCCTCCAAAAGGAAAACAAATTATCATTTGTCCACTTAAATGTCTCACTTATCCCTTAAAAACTTATTTAACTCAAATCTAATCTATATGTTGTAATCTCACATGATGATAGCTGGAGAATGGAGAAGCTAATAATTTTAAAAAAAAATAATTTCTTTAGTTGTTCAAATAAAAATTTTATTACAAAAAATTCCTCTAATACACTAGAGGTAAATAAATTTTATTTTATATTTAGAAAATTTTATTTAATTCATCATTATAATTTTATGTTTTATGCCATATTTTTTAGTAATTAATTTTAATAATTTGTTACCTCTAGCGTTTTTAATATTCAAACTTATATATTTTTTAAGAATATTCAATATTCACTTTAAGTAAAAATTTTGCTCCCATTACCTAATTTTCTTGGATCCATTAGTGATTGGTTTAGTTGCATGATTTTAAGTTTAAGAGCAATTTATATTAATTTTTTTATATAGTTATCTATTTTTTTTTACTAAAATTCATAATTTATAAATTCATAATTCATAAGTCAAGCCTATCAAGTGGTAATTTTAGGCTTTTCAAGCTCGATTAGTTAAAGTCAGGAAAATGAGATGAGTCTAAGGACTTCTCGTTTAAATCTTTTTCATAAGGGATTCGGTTTGAGAAGTTAGCAATTTTTTTTAAAAAAAAATGAATTTTGGAGTCTAACCCTAATAAACTTTGAAAAAAACAATTTTAAGTTCAAGCAACTGTCCAAGCTCGTTTATCTTTTTTTTTTTAACTTCCCTATGGTTAAAACACAGCGCATGAAACTTTAGAAAAAAGAAAACCCTACCTAATCTCACTCAAGTCCTCTCTCCTCACTCTATTGGAGTCAACTTCCCTCTCCTACATCCTTCGCTTTTCCATACCCTTCCCATCTTAAAAAATAATTAGGACTAAATTTTATTCAATGTCATATCTTATCTCGAAAGTTGTCTCATTTTATTATGATTGGGACGAGATTAAAATGTCCTAGCAAAGTGAACATTGTGAAAGAAAGACCCAAATAGCAGCATTCATTAAAATATTAAATCATATAACTTGCTAAATTCAAAATCAAAATAACACAAGTACATAAATCCCAACCACTTAAAGTTAATTATTAAGTTACATTAATCACAACTATAAGTCTACAACTTAAAGTCAAGTGCACATAAGTCATAATACATCATGACAACAACTACAAGTGACCTACAGGGTACAAGAGCAACAAAAATAAGCAAGACAGATATAACATTAAGTTATTATTCTTCTTCTTTAGTTGGCATATTTTAAGCTATTGATTCTTCCAAAAAATAAAGTAAGAAATATAAAATAAATAAAAATTATTAAATAAATAAATATATGCATAAATTATATTAATATAATTAATATAGTAAAAAAAAATCAAGACTTTTTTAGTTTTGGGATAGAGATTGCAAATATTAAAATTATAATTAATATTCCCTCCATTCAAAAAATGTAAGGCATTTATAATAGAATTTCACCCCTCAATAAAGTAGTTATCTACTTTTCAACTAACCCTATATTTTTATATTTACCTCTATTAAATACTCTATAATAAATATAAAGTTTATTATCAATAAAGGCACTTTTGGAAATAAAGATAATGATTACACTCGAAAGATTAAAAATGTCTTACATTTTTAAACATCCAATTCCTCAAAAAATACCTTACATTTTTTTAACGAAGGAGTATAATTTATTCTTTTATTAATATAATTAAGTATAAGATCAAATTGTATTAATATAATTAATATATTTAATATTTATTTTAAAATATATATATATATATATATATACATACACATACATACAAACAAATGCGAGGTGAGATGAGGATGTCTTGAGACAATCCCCATGTCCCGTCTCAAACCCTTTTTATTTTGTTTTGTTAAATTCTATTCTTTTTTTTTTTTTTTTTTGGGATTGATAGAGATCCGTTTCAACATGATTGAGATTAAACCGGTCGGATAGAAGCAGGTGAGAGGTTAATAACTATCCCTGCATGTAGGACGAATTTGCTTAACGTTCGGCCGGCAAGGGCTCGAAACGTTACGTTTCGACGCGGAGCGAAAACGCAACGGTCTGGATTTGTGACTTTCAACGACCAGGATTTCCTTTGACGAATCCATCACAAGTGGCTGCATCAGCTGCATCACCATCCATCTAACTGTCCCAAATTTTCGAAGGGCAGGAGAAGAGGACCAACGCTGAGGAAGAGAAAATCAGAATCTGTTGACTGTTGCAACACCGGGGGCTGGAGCCGAAGAATCTATTTCTGTGTGCAGTCATAATCTCAATAAATTTTCACTCTTTTCAAAATCGACGTGCTAAACTCATTCTTAATGCGCTATTAACTCCATCGGCATGCCCTTTTCTCGCATTGGTTGATATCTAATCTCTAATATTTGCTTTGTTTTTCAATCATCGTTGTTGAGCTACAGAGCCTGCACGCTGAGTTTGCACTCATCAGAAGCATGGAGGTTGACTGAGGCAAATTCAAGGAACCAGGGGGCTCGTTCTGAGAAAAGCTTCCAAGCACTCAGGTGATTTCCTCCCTGTTTATGGAGAATAACTATGCTTTCTCTGTTTTATGAGTTTTAGTTGCACAGCAAGTGTTCTAATGGGAAATTCTCGTTGCCCCGTTCTGAAACTGAATATTGAAGCATTGAAAATTGAGCTACAGTATTATTATTATTATTATTATTATTATTATTATTATTATTGCTTGAAATCTAGGTCGGTCATTATTATTATTTTATTATTATTATTATCGCTTGAAATCTAGGTCGGTCGTTATTATCTGGGGGAAAAAAACAAGTTTGATTGTATGGCATTATGTAAGAGTAGTGTTAAGTCGTATTGCCCGCCTACCGAAAAAGAAATGGTTCCATGGATTTAAGTGGGCCATGCGGTGCAGAATCTGTGTTCTTGTATTAGCTTCTTGAACAGTTTCCAAATGCATAATTTACTGCAAATGGACTGCTTGTGAATTGAAAAATAAGTAATAATTATTCTAACTTGAAATCTAACTCGATCATGATTATTTGACCCTCCCAACTCCCCCCCCCCAAAAAAAAAAAAAAGGTTTAGATTATATGGTATTATATAAGTGGAAACAGTACCGACTGCTTAATATACAAAATGACATCCCAATGAATTTAAATGGGCTCACGTGGTATAAACTTTTTTTTCCCTTGTGCTAATTTGTGTTTCTTTAACAGTCTCCAAGTGCGTAATTAACTGTAAATCCACTCTTTTTATGAGCTAAGCAGGGCGGATCATTTGGTTGACCTTTCTTGCCCTCCATGTTTCACTCTGTTAAGTTAATTATTTTATGGTGTATCTCTATTTATATGAATAGGATTCTTTTGGATTCTACAGTTGCATTCTTTCATGACAGCTGGAAGCAAAATATTATTATAATTTCATAGATGCCTAACAATTATTTGCATTAGCTTCTCAACTACGGCGCATCTCATGGAATGCAGATAATAGTTAGGTGCCAATGCACATAAATTTTTGTTGCCATTCAGTACAGGGAGACTCGAGAGGATATCATCCTTCAACAAATTGCTTCGCGTAATTTATCTTTTACTTTCTTGGGAACAAACAAATGTCAGTTTCAAGGTTTCTCTTCAGTAACGGCACCCTCTTGCACTCCCCTGATGCTCCTCCGGCCAAAGTCCTCCTTGAAGCTCATCCAGGTAGATGCAAATGAGTGAAAATTAAATCATGAACTCTATACTAAACACTTGATTTTTCTCTTGTTTGATTTATTTTAATTACTATTTATCTTGTAGTTTACTTGTAACCCAGGTGCTTACACAACCTCACGTACTCACGACTCTGGTTCCTACTTATTATTCTGGAAAAGACACATGAAAAGGCTTTCACAATCCATACACACTTTATCAAACTTGGCTCCACAACTGCTATTTGAATCTGACAAATCTACTAGTTTGTCATCATCAGTTAACTTACCGATATGGCAACCCACAGTACAGATGCTTGTTAATGATTCAATCAGCAAGGTCTTGCCAATTGCATTGAAAGAGAGAAAGGATTGTGAAGAACTGGCTATCACAACTCTTGTTTGTGGTAATTTGGACGCGCTGAATGCACGGGAGACTATGGAATATGAAGAAAGATTAAGCAAGATTCTTGAGGTGCATGTACACGTTGAGACTTATATTCCTCCTTCATTTGGTGTAAAGGAAAATGGTGTAAATTTGGCTTTGGTGGGCCATGGGAGGAATCTCGCATCTGCAAAGTATTCAGATTGGGTAAGGTCAGTTCATGCCTAAAGCTCAGACACTTCTGAAAAGGAGTATTGCCCATTCCCAATACATGTCAAACACTCATATTGGACATTACACAACACCTTATATTACATGCAGATGCTTCAAATTTTGTAGTTCACCATGTCTTGTGTGATGTGTCAATGTCAACGTTGATATCATACACATGGTTGTGTCCATGCTTTCTAGACTTCTCCCTTCTGGAGGATTATAAGTATCACCTGCATATCAAGTCAAAAATCTTGTTGAAATAAATTATGAATATGTGTAACGTTGAAGTTCTTGTCTGTGTTTTATCATTTGCTGAATATTGTTTTAATTGGAGTTGTCTGTTGGCAATTTGGTTCCTAGGTTATTGCGCCTACAGGGATTATGTTCCTTGAAATTGTTTCGTGGATAAGTTTGTCTATATTGCAGGTTGAGGCAGAGTCTGGAAAAGCTCAGGCCACCTTTAGTGACAGAACTGTTGCTGTCAAATGATGGTGATAGAGTACTTGAAGGTTGTCTAACAAACTTTTTTGTTGTTTGCCGCAAGGTTAGTGAGTCTGAAAAACATGATGGTTGATAATATGCATGCATGACTTTTGGTATTCGTTTCCTATTTTATATCTCAATTCACGAGACCCCCCCCCCCCTGTTTGTGATGTTAATAGGATACAGATGCAGGTAATGACAGTCACATAAATGGACACTCTTTTGAAGTACAGACAGCTCCTATCAGCGATGGCGTCCTGCCAGGAATTATACGTCAAGTAGTTATTGAGTATGAATGTTTGTGTTATGAACCTTTTAATATCTTTACTAATGTATCTTCCATGTCTTCCCGCCATAAATGGATTATGCCTTTGCATTTAAATTTAACTGATCTATTCACTTGACATACTAGATTTGAGGGCTTTATCATTAAGTGGTAATCATCAGAGTGCTTGAGGCATTTTTCCTGGGTTTGTAGATCTTAAACCCCAGTAGAGATAAAAGGGAACCTTAGAGCTTGTTTAGCAACTTGTTTGGAGAGCATTTTCCTTTTCTCTTGAACAAAAAAAAAGAAAAGAAAATCATTTGGTAACTTGTTTTCAAATGGTGTTTTGGAGAACAAAAAAAAAAACCAAATATTAGTTTGGAGAATAGAAAAACAAAAACATCTTTTAAATGACCTAGGATTATTGTTCTAGAGAACAAAGGACAATATGAAAAACACTTGTTTTTTTTTCCCCTCAAAACATGTTCCATAAAACATCAATTCTCAGAACAATAACATAAAAATAATTTCAAACAAACCCTTGCTTTTTTCCCGTAAAAGCAAATCACGAAGGTTGTTTTCAAGTGATGATTTCAGGGTTATATGAAACTAGAAAAATTGCGTTGTCAAAGATCTGGTAATGCCATCAGGCCAAGAAAGATAGGATAATACCCTGTTTGTATAGGAAAGAAGCGAAGAAGCATTGTCTATTTTAATTGTTGTATCTTAGTACTGATCTGCTTTGTATACAGAGCATGTAGGAGCAAAGGAATCCCATTTCGTGAAGTTGCACCATCATGGTCAGAATGTGAAATGTGGGAGGAAGCATTCATCACAAGTATATATTATTTTCCTTTTAATAATTCTTTACTTCGGTAATGAATCCCAGTCAATGACAATTGCTTTTTTCTGATTGTTTTTATTTATCATGTATTTCTGTACAAATTAATGTGGAACTTCAGACTCTATTCGCTAATGCAATTCACTTTGGACCAAATGATATTGCAGATAGCTTGAGGGTTTTGCAGCATGTGAATAGCGTTCAGGTTCCAACGGTTTGGCAATCAGTCCATTCTAAAACGTGGAAGGATATATCATGGAAAAAGAAGAACTTTCAGGTGGTAACTTCTTAGCAGCACTGAAATTTTGTGCACTTATGGGGCTTGTTTGTTATGGTCTGGGAAACTGATTTCATTTGTCTTGTTCAAATAATAATATATTCTTAGGTAATTATACTCTCGTTATCATCATTAAATGGCGTCTGTTTAATTCCATTTCTTCTCTCTCTGTCTTTTTTAAAAAAATGGTGACAAGATACTTATATTATGTCCACAAAATAACTTATTTTTTAATTCTATTTTCTTTGATTCTTTTCATCTTGTGTACCCAAATAAGCTGTTAGCAAGATTCTTACAGTTCAAGTAACTGCAGGTTGGACCTGGGAAGATCACTACTATAATTCAGGTAACTTAATTTGTTCTACAACAAAAAGCAAAACAACTTTCTTGCTTCAGATGTCATGCCTGAACACTTTGCACGAGCTTTGTTATGTTTTGACTTGTATGTTGTTAATTAGTGGTACACACTTATGCACAATGACCTAGGATATGATCATGTATACCTCACTTGCCTTCCATTTTCTGAATTATATTTAACAGCAGCGAAATTACAAAACCAAATTGCCTTGTGTTTTGGGCAGGAACTGATCATGGAGAAGGTAGTACAAGAAGGGTATGCAAGCGGTAACTTTTACAAGGACTGAAAATTAAACAAAAAATAATTACAGTTTTAGAGAAACCAATCTACCTTGCCTATACTGTTCCTGCTGTTATGTTTCACAAAACACCATCTTTTGTTGTGTGAGACTGAGACACGAGTGGCCAGAGTAAGTGGGAAGCTGGTGCATAGGGAATTTTATGCAGGGGTGTAATCAAACTGCTGGTGGTCTCTAATGGTATTAAGAATGCAAGATGAGCTGTTCAAAAGAATAATGTTAGTTATTATTAGGTACTGGTAGTTAGAGTCCTTTTGATTTGGTTTGTGTAGTTTGTTTTGGAAGTGGTTGATAAATGATTACAAGTCAGATGGTTTTTCCTTTCTATAAGCTCCTACTACTATCTTTTCTCATTCTATCTGATACAAGTGAAGTTGCAAACCATCTTTACTGATGTTTGGTGTTTTCACAGATTCAGTGTTTTTGGACTTTATTGTCATTCTCCCCAGAGTAAAATGATAGAAAATAATTGTTATCTATATATATATATATATATATATTAAATGTTGTAGAAGGATTTGACTAATTTTAAAGAATTAATATAACTAGCAGTTTTTTTTTTTTTTAATTACAATATAGCTTCCAGCTTTACTGTGGACAACTGTGCAACTCTTCAATTAGCTGGACTTCTTGTGCATTGCTAAATGTTAAACCATAATATTCATTATTCATAAGCAATATAATATAATTTAGGATTAAAGGGAAAATTGATTCTAGAAGTATTTTTGTCAAGTGCAACTGGTATTCCTAATTTTTGATTGGTACAATATTATCTTGGAAGTGTACAAAATGGTGAATTTTTGCCCTATAATAACATTTAACCAATATTGATTGTTGGTTGAAAATTTTGGTTGGTTAAAGGGCAATTTTGTCTCAAAAGGCTTTTTCTTAAAGAAGTAATTAATATCCTAAACTTTCTATTAGTGCAATATTTTTAAGTTATTAATGTTCAAATTAAAAGGAAAAACAAATCTAACAAATTATTATTATTATTATTAAAAATGAGTCATATTTTAGAATTTTGACAAAAGGTTCTTCTCGAATCTTCTTGAGGTTGTTTTGATGCAAAATTAACATTACCCAAGGCATTTATATACTTTCTTTTGAAATTCAAACTTCTTTTGTATTGTTTTTGAGTAATTCTTAGCTTGTATATACTTAAATATAGATTTGTTCAAACTTGCATATGAATAACATAAACTAGTTTAGATTTTGACTTAGAAGTGTCCAACGTAATTGTTCTAATTTTGAGTTATAACAAGTTTTGTTAGATCCTTCTTTTGATACTGATAACCCAAAACATTGCACCAATTAAAACAATTAAAAGAATATGAAATTAAACTATAGGATCAAAGATCTGAAATGAAATTAAGTTTACTTGCAAAATGAAAAAAATACCTTTTGCTTATTAAAAAAGGCCACCCATCCAACTATAAGGTATAATTCAAATTTTTATGTCTTCTTTGGTAAAGTTAGATTTGAATTTAGTGAGTGGTTTACATACACTCACTCAATAATTGTTTTAATTACAGTCATTAAATTTTATAATTGTTTTAATTATAATCATTAAATATTATTAATACTTAAAAATTATCAAGTTATATTTCGTTTTAAAAATTCAAACCAATCATTAAAATCAAAACACTTTTCACATTGATGTTTTTTTAAAAAAATTTGAGATTTGATTTTATTTTTTTTAATATTATATAACAAAATCTCTTAAATTCATTCAATTAGATCAAATAATTATTATCATGTCATATAAGATATTCATTAAATGAGTAAACTTACACGATTCATCCGATCTAAATGTGTTAATTTTGTTCTTTAAACATTAAAAAGTTATATTTTCAATTTTTCATAAGTTATTGACAAAAAATAATAATTTAAATTTGAGAGAATTGCACCTAAGGCCCCCAAACTAGAGAAATTTTCAATTAAGAACTAATGCACTCTGAATTTATTCTGTGACCCAGAAACAAGAAGTACGGAGGAAGATGGCTTTACCATAATCATGTTTTGGACTTCACGAGTTCAAAGTGCAAAAGAGGAGAGACACGTAGAGAGAGAGAGCTGTGAAGTATTTGTTCAAAGAAGCATTTTGGTTCATTCACGCAATTATTTTCTAATTATTTTAATGCACTTGATCCTTCTATTTTGTTTGGTTTTCGAGAACAATTTCTCTTTTAAGTAGAGATTTTCTAGCATTTTTTTCTTATTAAAATCTGAACTATAGTATAATATGCCAAAATTTGAGGTATAACTGTCATTAAGCAAATGCAACAAACCGAAAATTTTGATGTAGTTAAATATAACACCTACTTTTATACTTGGAGCAGCATTTGCAAAATTTGGGATAAATTCATGTTTTATGTAAGTTTGGAAAGTTCAAAGTTGAGAAAGGAAATTAAATATCTTTTTCGTATGATAAATGGTCTTTACTCCTTGACTCTCTTGTTAAGCATGTGTTTCTCAATGCTAATTCTATTCTCCATGCTAAGGTCTTTGACTTTCACCGAAATACAAGAGGATGGAATATTGATCTTTTAAGTCACTATCTCTACTCTAATGTAATTAAACAATTCTTACTTATGCAACCTCCTAACTAACAAGGTAAAGAAGATGTTCTCATTTGGAGACCCTCCTTTAATGGAAACTTCTCCATCAAATTTGCTTATAAAGTTATGGAATCTCATAAAGACCAACACCACTTTAATATATAGACTAAAATTTGAAAGTGGCTTACTTATGAAAAAATAAAATACTTTTTATGAAAAGATGCCTCAAATTGTCTCTAGATCAATCACACGTAAACAACTAGGAATACTCCCCATTAACATATCTTTCCACCTAGTTGTAACTCTCATTACTCTTCAATTCATATTTTACGTGATTATGAGGAAGCTAAAGAGATCTGGAAAAGATTAGTTAATCCTACAAGGCTTGACACCTTCTTTTATCTTAATGTGCAGAATTGGATAATCTAAAATGCAAAAAATGAAGCAGGCAGCTTAAAATAAGAAGAACACCTTGATAGAAATTTTTTGCACAAGCTTGCTAAAATATTTAGAAAGCTAGATGCAAAAAATTATACTCAAAAGATGAGATCCTGAATAACGATATTGCCTTCTCTAGCACAGATAAATAATGATTTGAAATTTCTATCTAAAATCACCTGCTTGGGCAAAAGAGACTATAAATGATCATAAATTGAGTCTACCTAAATCTAGATGGGTTAGACTTGATACTAATGACTCTATTAACACTAATGGTACCGTAGTTTAAGGAGACATCACGAAAGATAATAAGAAAAATTGGGTTAAAAGATTTTTCAAGTACCTAAAATATCAACCAAACACAGTAGCAAAACTTAAGGGAATCTTTAAGGGACTAAAACTTTGGTTAGAATGCGAAATTACCAAAAGTAAATATCCACTTTGATTTGATGAAGGCATTGTCACTCATTAATTGCACTTACTCTGAGAGTCACCCTTTATCTAACACTATCAAGAATATCAGAGAACTTGTTATGAGAGATTAGATAGTTTAAGATCTAGTCACCCTTTGACCATATTTATAAAGAAGCAAATAGATGTGCTGATCTCTTAACTCACCAATCATTACATGATACCTTTAATATTATGATTTTTTATGTTTCACCACATAAATGTAGAAATCTCATGGTTTTAGATATGACTAGATCTTAAGTCACGTTTGGCTATTAGAAAAGAATATAATGAAATAGATTAAAAAATCAACACAAAAATAAACTAAATCACCCCATTTCTCATGATAAACATGACAAAACTCATTAATATATACTATAAATGTAAAAATCATCACACCTTCTAAAAATTTCATAAATCATGATTACTAACCCCATGAATTAAATTACTCCTTTCCTTTATGAATTTAATTCACTATTTCTTTTAATCATTTCATTTTTACTTTTATTTTTTAATCTATTTCATTACATTTTTTTCTAATAGCCAAACATAATATCAGTCTACTTGCACACTTTTGTTGTGCCTTTGTAATAAAAAAAAATTGTCCTCAGAAGACTTTAAAAGAAGAAAAGTAAAGGGTATTGTTGTTATTTTGCGCATAACTTCACATTCCTTTATTTATTTTTGCCATGAAGTTCCTTTTGTGGCCTTTGATGATATTTTCCCTATCCTGATTTCAAAGTTCACATTCTTCTCTCGTTCTCGGCGCGAAGGAGCTCCAATCCACGGTCTCGATCCTCTCCTTAGGAAATGCAAAGCTTGTAAGCCATGTCAAAATTTCCCGACTTATTGCTTCACCTGCATCGTTTTGATGCTGAAGGAGCTGACAATAGCAACGACTTCGATCTCTGTGGTCTGAAAGTGAAATCCAAAGACCTTTGTCTTCTCTCTGATGATCTCTTCAAGCATCTTCATGTCAAATTTGAAGTTTTCTTCTCTTCTTTGCGGGATTTATCCGAAAGCGGGTCTCGTCAAGTGCCCGAATTGCATTCGAAATTGTGGAAAATTGTTAAAGACCTAACGTTGATTCTCAGGTCCTGTCTGATTATTTTGACATTGCTCGAGTCTGAACAGCAGTCCCTACTTAAAAAATGCCGCTATATTTGTCAGATTTTGAAGATTTTCGGTTCCATTGATATGGATGGGAGAAATGGAAGAACCCAAATAACAGTTGAGAACTTGGACTCCTGTGAATTAAACCCTACCAGTGTCGAACCTTCCATATCTGCTTCTTGCGAACTATCTGATCCTTGCCGTCCCTTTCTGTGTTCAATGCTTGAGGTAAAGATAACTAGCCGTTTTTCCTGTTTCCGATTTTTGTGCAACGATGCCTTCTGCTGTTTTTTTTTTTTCGGTAAACGCCTTCTGCTGTATTTTATCACTACGTGAACCTTTTGATCCTTTTAACATTCATGTTGCTTGTGTGTAAGTGCAATTGGATTCTATTTAATTAATTAATTAATTTTTCATTGGAAACCCAGGAAGTCAGCGGCCTGTAATCTTTCTTATTTGTGAAATGTACCAGCTTTGCCATAGATGCTAAAAATTTTATCTCATTAGGGTTTGAGTGACCCCTTGATCATAGTAAAATTTTTTGAGATGTTGAAGATTTCTTACATGATTCATTTTTTTTAAAAAAAACTAACCAGAACAGCTTTGAATATCATCATCCAAGGTGCACCATGAAAGAACCTTTGTCTTTTAAAAAAGGAACGAAAAGATACTCCTTTTTTTAGAAGAGAGATTTTCCCCAGTTGTACTTTTATTTTATCCCTCAGAAGATTTCCTTGTTACAAAATGTTAAGCTTTTACGGGCTATAGCATCCTATTTTTGTTCTGCATGAATGGCTGCACATTTTCTATTTTTACTGAAAAGTTTGGAGCTTTTCAGCCTTCTTTTTGTCTGTTCTTCATTGCTCTTTAATTTTATTTGTATCTTAAGGTAGTAAAATGTGTAAAATTTTCCTTTTCTTGTATTTTCTCTTCCTTTTTCTGGTTTAGATTCCCTCTTCTAGGAGTATAACAAGGCTTACCAACGATTTATGTCTGTTTCTGTTGTTTTTAATTAGTATAATTTAGTAGCATGATGAATTTTGGTTATAGCAGTTGGAAAACAACTAAATATGATCATGTTATCTCAGGTATTTGCAGATGAGTGTTTAAAGCATCCATCTTTAAGGAAGTATATTATGTATGTGGAATCATCTTCTATCAGTGAAAAGAATTCAACATCTAACTTGAACCATGGTTATATTGCAAGTGTCCTGGAGATGATATCTGCCCATTTTATGTTGTCAGTTTCGGATGATCAAACACTTGAGAATTTCGTCAGTAGATTACTTTTGCCTTGTGGCAAGGATTCAAGAGGTTTTGAACTAAGTTTGGAAGCTTCCATATCATTGCTGCTCAACCCTATTTTGCTTTCTGCACCAAAGATGTTCCAGGCACATGTAATTTCACTAGTTTCTGAAGCCATTGGTCACTGCTCATCTTCAAAGAACTTGGTTTCAGATAGCTTTACGGACTGCTACTTTACAGCATTTGAAAGATCAATCATTATGTACTCAATGTATGCTTCTAGTTTTCAAACGGATGGTTCTTGCATGGGACTCAATCTACTTGGCAGAAGCCAGGTAACATTTGAAGCCTACATTCAGCAAGTGACAAAGAACAAACTAAATTATCTTGTATCAAAACTGGATGGTTCATGGGATTCTTATCAATGCAAAATGGCATCCAAAGCAGAGCCAACCTTTTGACTGAATATATTACGTTTATGAAAGAAAGCCAACACATGTTTCCTGATTCATGCAGGAACACAATTTTTTCCGTCTTAGAATGCATTATTTGCAGGACTTTCTCTGAAAATGCTACTGGAGATGAATTCTATACAAAGAAAAATACTAGCGCTCAGGATATATGCCTTCTTACATCAATATTGAAGTTAATGAGCATTTCATTAATCCAAGCCACTTGGTGTCTAAGTAAGGGTAGTAATTCAGGTTGCCTGAAAACCTTGGGTAACACTACTTTGTCTAAAAGATATGACTTCTTGATCACCATGGTTAACTGTTTCCAACAGTGTAATACGAGTTTACCCATTCAAAACATGTTGTCTGATGTGATGAAGAGTTACCAAGCAAGGCATAAACACTCCAAGTCAATACTTTTTCACTTCTCGGGCTTGCTATCTTCAAGCTTTATCCATGGATTTGATATCTTGGCAAAGGCATGCATATCTGTAATTATGGCACTGATGTATCTATTCATATTTGAAGAGGGGGATTTAATTGCATTAGGATCATTAAAGGACCTGCCATTGCAATCTTTGCCATCTGGAATGCCATTGGCTAAAGCTAGAGAGGTGAAGTTTGCCTTCAGTTTTCATGAACTTGATATGGAGTGTGTATGTCATGCTTAAACTCTTTGTTACTGTTGCAGGTTGCTGGAAATAAAACTAGCTATAAAGTTGCATCAGAGTTTCATAAAATTTGGGCACGTTATTCCAGGTACATGATGCTTTTACCAAATTATGCAAATTCAATTTTTTTTTTATCGCAGTAACTGGATTTTTATTGTCCGTTTAATCATGTGACAATTAACAAGTTCATTTCAGTCATGAACATACGCTGAATTTTTTTATACTAAATAATATATCCTGAATTTTAACGCTCATACTCCTTGTAAAATCTACCACCTATGCTATCCATTGCTTATATCTTTTACATCCAATTCCCTGTATATTTCAACAATTAAATGGATTCCCTCAAATTGATGGTATTCAATTGATACAGTCTTTTCCAATTCTACCTATATCTTGCTGATGTTCATGAATCCTCAAGATCTGAAGACAGTACCCGTCATGTATAACAGAAAATTTAAGCCAAAGTAATCCTAGTAAGAATCATAATCAAAGCCACATAAAAACAATTGTTGCCAAGTAATTCTTTATGGTGTTGAGCCATGGTTTGCTTAAAGGATCTGCCTGATTTAGTAATATTGGTCTTTGCCAAGTCAAGGTATTCTAAGGCTAAGGGCAGTTCAAAGATGCCTGATTTAGTAAATCACTAATATCGTTGCTTAAGCATAATTAAGTCACTATCCACTCATGTTATAATTCTCGCATGAAGCAGGTTTGATCACATGGGGTGGATGTAACAATGAGTTCATTGATTGGAAATTGGAATTTTTTGAGTCCAATCTGATCAGTGATCGGTAGCGTGGCTTTTTACGAACCACTTGTTTGAGTGTCATTTGATTTTCATGGTCAACATGTAGCATATGATTAAAGTTTCTTTCTTTCCCATGCATTATTAATGTGAATAATGATCAACATAACATATTATCATTGTGAATAACGATTACTGTAACAAATCCTTCTGGGGAAGGTGAGAAGTGATTGTTGAGGTGCACGGTTTATTCTATTGATAGCTTCGAAGTCTTTTGTTTTTTTGGGCCAATAGCTTGGAAGTCTGTTATGTTACCATATTTCCTCTTAAATTGTTTTTAAAGAGACGCAATAACTATATCCCAAATAAATGGAATGAAAGTAATCCCATTGATTTTTGGTAAGTTGTTTCTGTGATAAATATCGGGTAAAATATTTAATATATGCACCATGTAAGAACTAAATTATTCAGTCAAATAATCTTAAACCTTGGAACTGAAATGGAAACTTTATTTTTACTCGAGAAAAACATGTTATAGGGTGGATATTTGGTTTATGCGTAAATAAAAATGTGAGTTGATGACTGTTGTTTTTTTTCCCCCATAATCCTTTAATTGCTTTCTTGTCTCCCCAACCAATTTTCTTCGTCCTTGTAACTCCCACAGGAAGAATTGCTTCCAACAAGGAATCCAAGACAATCAAGCCGAGGGTACAAGGACAGTGGCAATTCTAGATCCTTTCTCCTATGACTTAGAAGAAGAAATATGTAATGGTGATATGTTCCTTGAATGCATTTTGAAAAATTCCAAAAGATCTGATTATGCTGATCTTGTGGACTTCATTGAGTGTAAGAAAGGGAAAGACTATCGTAGGTGGTTGAAGAACCGAGAGAAATACCGAGGATGGAAACGCAACAAAGTGGATAATATGAGGAAGAAGAGTAAGAAAATGTTGCGGAAGGTTCTGAAGTGCACGTCAGTTCCAAGGAAGATGAAGCGCCAGAAGTGGTAAAACATCTGATACATTATCTGTGCTTTTTGTACATGTAAATTCGTAAACTACTTTTGCCTCAGTTGATTAGCTAACGATTAATTCTAAACTCTAGATGCTGTATTTGTTAGTTGAAACCTGCTTAGAAAATGTATGGTTTAAAAGTATGGAAGTTGTAAAATATGATCTAAAGCCTAAGCTACTTGGGATTAGCTCAAGTGATATATGTTGAGGAAGAGATGAGTGTTGGTCAAACCCTGTGACCTGGGCAAAACGAAAAGGAACCGTTTATTGAATCTTCAATAATATTAGCTTACAATTTGTTAGTTTGATCTTTGAATCTTTGATCATAACTGAATCATGTTTGAACAAATGATAATTAAGTATATATTTTGTATTTTTAAAATTTAATTTAATTCAATGAATATTAAGTAGAAAATATTGATGAATTGAAATTAAAACAAATAACAAAGAAGGTCGTTTGAAGCCATGGAATTGTAAGTTCCATTTTGATTATGTTCTTGTTAGAACTTGATTTGTTGCAGAGAACTCAAGGATAAAAGTTGCGCTGTATAATATATACTGTTATGATTTTTTTTTTTTCCAGAAATATATACTGTTGTGAATTGAGACCTATATATAGTATATTCTTGAAGAGGATTTGATCTGAATTATTAGATTATTTGGATTAAAGTAGGATTAGTTTATTAATTCACCAATTAGATTAGTTAATCCAATTATTTTTAAATACAATGAATTATGTCTTATATAATTTAAATTGATAAACAAATTATAAATAATGTATAGTATGTAATTATAATTAAATTCCAGGTAGTGCTTATGTAACATTTTGTTTGGCTTCTCAGTTGCAAGAGATATGAAATACAGTGGATTGCATTCAAGAGAAAGCATATTTTCGGGAGAATTACATACATATTTTAAATTAAAAAAAATTAATTATGCATAGGTCCTAACTACTTGTAAATACAGCAATTTGACTTGTAAATATTATTGTTTGATGTGTAAATGAGAATGATTAATTTCCTTATTGAAGATCTATTCTCTCTTTATATTGGGCCTTCAGAAGCATAGTAGAGCATTATTCTGGGGGGCTGCATTTCTGGATAGCCAAAATTTTGGGTTTCCACAAAAAATGTTGAAGTTTGGATTTTCAATTTTCATCAACACCTCACGCTATTTTCAACAATGAACAAGCCTCCTATGGCTTACTGGGGAAAGTTAGTTGTTTGACAAAGGATCATAATTTTCTTATGTTAGGAGTCCAAATTTATCAAACACTAATGTGCATTGGACATTATTGAAATATTATTTCTGCCTGCATTGTGGAATCAATAGCTATTCCCTGAAATTCCTTTGATTCAAGAATCTCTGGAAACAAAAATTGTCGGCTTGCTCTTCCACATTCAAGTTTCAAGGGGGGAGGCAGGTAATTCAATTTTGAGTTAAATGGCAACTTTAACTATACATTTAAGAGTATTTAGAACCCTAAACTTATTTTTTGTATAATATTTTTTTCAACATTTCAAAACATTGTGATATCACCCATATTGTTAATAAATATTAATTTTGGTTGTCAGTTAACCAAAAATAATCCCAAATATTACAGAAATGACCAAAAAATTATAAATTTTTATATGGTATTTATTTAGGCCTTTTTCTGCAATTTTTTGTCCTTTTCTGTCTTTTTGTAGCTCTTTCCTGTAATTGTTAATCATAAGGCGATATTGTACTATTTTTAAATATTGAAGATAAATATTATGTTAAAAATAAGTTTAAAGTCTCAATTAGGGTAATTTACCCTTCAATTTTTTATACCTATTGTGTTGAAGTTTTGTCATTGAGGTTTATAAAAACTAATAAAAATTTCTCTCTGCGCATTATTCCTTAGTTTCAAAATCAAAACCATAAAATTGAAGTGTTATTTCTCTGCTATTATAAAGTAACACTGATGCCAAAGGCCTCTTGGCCCAGTAACACCAAAATTTCCTGCTACAGAGACTGATTTCCAGCCCGATAACACCAAAATGTCTTCAAAAGAAGTTGCTGTTTCGAGATTTAGGATGAGCAGATTGCGTGTGCATAGATGAGCATGTCTTCTATAAGAATGCGTTAGATTAGAAATAAAATTCTTAGAAACGAAAAAAAAAAAACTTCTATAAGAATGCGTTAGATTAGAAATAAAATTCTTAGAAACGAAAAAAAAAATACATTGATTTATTTATCATTTTATCATACAAAATGCTTTCGGCCTGACATTGTCATCCAAAATTGGCCACTTTTTTTTTTTTTTTGCTGAAACAAATTTACCAATTCATTCATTTATTTCAGGACCTAGCTTCTCCATCTGCGTGCAGTGTTGCCCTCCAATTTTTCTTGAAATGAAACTCAATAGTCTTAATAGTTAAACGGTTATTTATTTACGAGCAAAATTAACTCAATGAAGTTCAGCATCCAAGTCATCAGACGGTTAACTGCTGAATTTCGGATGAAATGTATGACTAACACGTGGAACAAAATTAGATCTTTAAAAATAAAAAAAGGCAACACTGCCATCTCTTAAACGAGTAACCATATTATAACTGTTATAATAAAAGCATGTTTGGGCCTTTTATATTCCTCAAGCACTGAAATACAAAGACAACAGAAAAGAAGGAATAGTCAGACATTAGATCACCAAGGCTGAGATTTGTATGCGCAACATTAACTTCTATTCTTCCAACAAAGATGCATACCTACCGAAGACTACCATATATTTAACATGGAAAATCATACATGACAGGATCAGACTAAGACTAAGAATACAGAATTTCATAACAAATCCACAAGTTAGAGATGGCAGCTATTGAAATAGAGTACAGAAAACCGAGCAAGAGAGAAAAATTAAGGAACAAAATGGTGCACCCTGGCATGCTGCCAACAAAGGTAATATTCTGAACACAATAACGGTTGGCCAGATGTATCAACACTCCGGTTACCTCCAGAAGCCTTTGGTGGACAACCAGATGGAATTAACAGTCTCATTCAGAAGTTCCTTCAGTTAAATGTATTCTGCCAAATCCCTTTCAGCTTATATACGACTTCATAGTTCATCCCTAAAATGAGAATGGCAAATGGAAAATGTCTTAATAGAAGATTGCAATTAGAAATGCCAGACAAAATACAAGACGCACAGTTCACACATCACTGCAAAAAAAAAAAAAAAGAACTCCAAAAAGGCATAAATAGTTTTCCGTTTTAACCAGGAAAAACAATTATCACACCTTGGTCACATTAAGAGCATTAAACATCCAAACAAAATAGACAAACTAAGGAATACAGAATCCTATGTCTTCGTGCTGAAAACCATATTACTTGACATTTTCAAGTCAATATCCAATTGAAAGACAGGTTATACAACAACAAGAAGCCTTATCCCCCTAGGTGGTATAATTTCAACCTATTAATGCCACAAATTCAGCTAAGTGAATGGAGCATAGTTACTACAACATCAACCACGGGCATTAGTCCAAGCACAGAAATTAATTAATCATTACCAATATTGCATAGAATATAACAGTTCAAAGGCACTTACCAAAGAATTCAGACCATATTAACTTCGAAATTGGAGAGATCAAGATGCATCTCTTGGTCGTGCGTTGTGGCAACAGTCGAAGCCTTAAACAGTGCACTTGGAGTATAGTTAAGCTGGTAGTTTACAAGTATCGCTCCAAATATGTTGAACTTTTTTGCACTATTGAAAGCAACCTCTGCATCAGCACACTTCTTGAAAACCACTCTGGCACGGCTGCCCACGGTATCAACTTCTGTTTCAGATTCCTTAAGAGGTCCAAAACGCCTAAACATCTTATTAAGGTTTGTCTCTGAGGGAACAGAATCCAACTCAGCGAAGTTCATGACAAGTTCAGCAGGGGACTTATCATCTATATAACCAGAAGGCTTTTCAGAAGCCTCAACATTGTTGTTATCTGAATAACGTTTCCTGGAGTAGGGCCTACGACTCACTTGGACAGGTTTATCTGGATCGGCAGGCACTAACTGATTCTCTTTTTTCCTGCTTCTTTTTGATGGCTGCTCTTCAGAACCATTTTGAATGACCCTATCTGTCCAATAAGTATCACTCATATCCTCAAATTCAAATGTTTCAGGTGATCCAGCTATGGGCTGTTTCTTCCTTTTGGCACTAACTTTATTTGTAGGGGTGATCTCTCTTTCAGAGTAATTTCCTACAACTATTGAGTTCCTGAAATCAGAGAAGAAACTCACAATAACACTCATGAAATTACTATGTTCTAATGGATCTTGTGCCGCCCAATGTAGTAAAGATAGCAAATCATTGAGTGATGAATATTCTGTTGGATCAACCAGGCTTGACTTCTTAGCCTCCTCAAGATTTTGAACAGAAGCGTCATCAGATACATCACCAGAAAGTACATCAGTGTTTTCATCTGGCTTCTGGGACCTGTCACCAGAACTCCTCGCTGTAGGAGACCCAGTAAGTTGACTAGCAACCCTACGAATACATTCACCAATTTTAAATGATGGCTTTGTGGAACTGGAAACCTTTGCAAGGGAAATTGTTTTTCTCCCATCTAGCATCCCAGTGTCATCGGCATACGGATCAACAGTCCTCCTTTTTTTGGAAACAGTAGGGGAAACAAGACTATCCATGGCTTTCTCATCCAACCAATAATCATCTGCGGGATCTAGAGTCCCACCAATTAGTTCTGACAAGCTTTTTTCTTTCTTTTTAGGATACATACCATCCTTCAAATTATGTTTACGTTTGTGGTAAGAATTGATGTGGCCTTTTGAAACTCTATGACCAGTGGAAGCTTGATCACCATCCTTACTTAGAGAAGTTTCATGCTGAATACTCTCACTGGCATTGTTCTCAACATCCTGAATTGATCTGTCTATATCACAGTCCAGACCTCCACAATATTGGAATTCAGGCAAGCAAGAGTAACCCTTTAAACGATAGAATGCAAGCAACTGAGCCTTAGCAATCCCAAGCTCCAATCTATCAAAACCACCAGTTGGGCACTGAGATAAATCTTCCAAGTACTCTAATAATTTATCAGGTGAAAAGGAGTTTGCATTCAAAGATTCATCCAATCCATATCTTAAACTTATTTCTTCTCGAATCCCAGCATTTTCAACATTCTGGAATTTGATCTTGCCATAAGCATCTTTTGGCACGCAGGAACATGCTAGCCCAAATTCTACTCGTCTTAAGACTTCATCTATAGCACAATCTACAGCATTGTGGAATGATTCTGAATTGCTCTGCTTTTCAATATTGGAGAAATGTGCCCTGAAGGACTTCAGCTGAGATGCTTCATTCCAAGCAAATGTTCTATCCCCGAAATATGCCACCAAAAAGCAGTCCTTTTTATAATGCTTCATAGCCTTCTCAGATGCATCTGAGGGATCAAAAATCTGTCCAGGCCACCATGGATGGCTTCTCACCTTACCCCAAACCATATCTGACACAGAAAAGTCACCTTCTTTTTCAGGTGGCAATATATAGTTAGCCTGATAAAGTCCTCCTGAACTTCCAGGCTTCATAGATATGTGCTTAATGGCTTTCTCATCCATTGAATTGTGATGTTCGTCACTATTATATTCTTTAGCTTCCATTTCTTGCCTTACATGTGAATCTGCTTGCTCACAAATATCACCCAGTTGTGCTTCAGTGGTTTGCCTAACATTTGATTCGGCCTGATCAACATTGCTTGTCATGTTCTGGTTGACATGCTTCAAGGACATCAACTTCTGATCATCTGCAGACAATGGTACCTCGTCATTGGATTTTCCTCTGCAGTACCCATGATGAGAAAATCCCCCCATCAGCAGTTTGATTATTTTCTACACTCCTGGAGTTTGTATTAGCCTCTAAATTATTCTCAACCACATCAAAAGATACTGATGTGCCTGCATTAACAGAATTACAACTTCATCATCTTAACTCATGAATATTTTCATTTATGGCTGAAATTTCAGTCTCAACCACCAGTTAAGATGAAATATTTGCAATTACAGCCAGCCATGTTCATGCATGGGTTGTTTCAGGATGGAGTTTTCAACACAAAACGCTCATTGATGTGCAGATCAGGCACGTGTTGGAACTATTTGAGATAATTGCTTAAAACAAAAGTCTACAAATTACAAATATTCAAGTCAACAAAAATAAAGCATTCAAAATTAAAATTCAATCTTTTATAAAAATAATTAAAGCATGAATAAAAATAGTTAACATCATAAAAAGAACTAATCTTCTATCCTTAAAATAAATGTTCCATCTTCAATCACAACTTATATAACATACACACATATAATATAATTAGAAAATAATTTATTATTTTTATAGCTGTAGGTAAAAGGGAGCAGATTTAAAAAGCCTCAATGTTTAACTTATTAGGAAGACATTTTTTGGGAGGGGGGTTCGAATTTCAGCCCAATCCCCACGCTGTGTTGAAGAAATTGTAACCCATGCCAAAGGGTGAGCAGGGTCACTCCAATCCAATGAACAACGCTAGTTACAGAATCACTGGTATTTTACCTTGAATATTAGCATTGCAGCTCCCCCTGTTCATCCGTGCCAATTGATTTTCAGCTTCCTCCTCTTTCCCTTTATGCAAACTAACGTGTTTGGCATCAGAAACATTTTCACCTAATTTCTCTTGTTCCCTCAAACCAGAAGTGACCAAAGCAGGATTACCACCCGTATCCATTTCTGAGCTATGTTCAGAATTTTGTGGTCCTTCAGATAAGCCACACCCTGTAACCCCACCATCTCTCTTAATCGAAGAAATTTCTCCAACATTACAAACCTGAGCATCTGTATCCATACTTGAAACAGCTGTCTGGTGATTTTCTGAATTTTGTTCTCCACCGTGTAAAGTAGGGCTTTTTGAATGGGAGTGTTTGTCAATCTCCATCCCCTGCCCTGTATCTGAACTAACATGAGAAGTATCAGGAATCATTTTCTTTTCCATGCATTTTTCAATCCTACTACACTTTTCTCTAGAATTTAAAGGATCCTTGTCCACAGAAATTTCAACTGCAGCAACTACTTTTGGCAGACTAATTGAGTTTTCACCAACTTTATCAATATCCATCGGCTGCTCTCCAGCAGACTGTAACTTTTCATCAATAGCATTAATCTTCATACTTTCGTCTTTGTCAGAGATACGAGCTTCTTTCTTTAATATTTTATCACCCTCTCCATTAGCAATTTTCTTCTGTTGATCGCATGATTTCAAGGTCACATCATTTCCCTCTTCTCTTGCTCTTTGATCTACCAAGTTCCTCTGCTGTTGATTATCCATTTCAGCTGATTCACTATGCACATTTTCTCCATTTAACGAGCTAGCAGCTGTCAAACCTCCTAAAGCATTATCACATGAAGGATTTGTCAACTTATCATCTGGAACTGCAGCTTCCTGGGCATCCTTGTGCTCAAGCCTGACATCATCCGCCATGGGCGATTCTGTTTCTTCAAGTGTGGAATTGACAACTGCCGAGGAGTCACTAACTCCAGCTTCCATTTCTTCTTTCTCAGCTCCATTGTTCAAAACTGGTGCTCCCTGCACATTTTCCACATCAATTTCATCAGAATGAGCAGCTGCTCCACCTCTCTCTACATTGCCATCCTTCAATGTTCCACTTGAAACCTCCCCCTTGTCCAACGCAGCACCATCATGCTGGGTTGTGGGATTCTCACCCTTAGCTGTTGAAGATTGCAAATGTGAAGCCTCAAACCCGGCCTCAGCCTCATTACCCACTCCAGGGTCTCCGCCCGCAGGTTTCGCATCATTACCACCGTCAGCTGATCCGCCACAAGCCCCTTCATCAATCAACTCTGTTTCATTAGCACGAGTGCAAACACCGTCTATGTACACATCAGAACCCAATACCTCCACCATTACGTCCTTCTCGCTACCCCCTCCAGCATCTTCACTACTCAACCCTTCAATCTGACCCTGACTAACACAGTGCACAGAGACCTCATCTAGGGTTTCACGAGCCCCGGGCTCATTGAGGGTCACAGTGGATTCTGAAATTCTACATACAGAGACCCCCTCCTTCGATTTTTCCATAAAAAACCGTATCTGAGTAAAGTGCAAAACTGTTCGAAGAAAACGAAAAAAAGAACCCTCCTTTTAGCCAATTTTAGGAAGAAAGTAGCAAAAACCTAAATCAAAAAACTGCGTAAATTTTCCGTGCCCCAAACAGATTCAAAGAGAAAGAGAGGGAAGAAAACCAAGGATTGAAACGTAAACATGACACAAAGAAGAAGAAGAAAACACGAATGGAAGAGTAGAGAGTACCAGGTTAGATCTTCAGGCAGTGAAAGCAGAGAAATTTGTTTGAAGTTTAGAGAGAGAAGACTGGGCAGAGAGTATGCGCGCGCGTGTAGAGGCATAAGGTGGGGTTGCGGGGATGCGAGGGGGAAAAAGGGGGAAAATGACAAGCAGAGGAAACATAATTAATTCAACTTAATCCTCAATGCTAATTTTTAAAAATTTATAAGTTCAGTTATTAATTTTTATTTAATATTTAATTATATTAAAATTAAAATTATAATTATAAATTATAAATTTATTATAAAAAAAATTTAAAATTAAAAGTCAATCTCACAAATCTCTAAAATTCAATATTTGAAATTTAAATTAAATTAATTGGTGCCTTTGACCAATTTGTCGTTCCTCAAAAAACAAAAAAAACTATAATGCGCTTTTGTCCTTTTCAGCTCTTTTGCGATCCGTGTCAGTCCTCAGAAGGTTTTGTTATTTTCATATAAAGGTGAAAAAAAAAAAACTAAATTAAATGATTAAATAAAACAAGGTAAAGTTTGGAAAATTTTGGGTTGAAATTTTTTCCATATCGTATCTAATATTCGTTTCTACTAGTAGTTTATAAACTTAAAACTCACATTTAAACAATCATCAACTCTTTTACTAGAACCAGGTTACCAACACTTTAGTATATGTTTGATTCAAATTTATAAAACTAAAATATTTATAAAAGAATATTTGTTTATAAAAATCTTCCTTTAAAAGGTCATTTGCATTTTAAATTTTTTAAAAAAATCAATAAATTGATTTTTTGGAGCCAACCCAAACCTTAATTTGGGTTGAAACCAAACATAACCGAGTTAATTCAAGAATATGCATTTCCCTCGCTTGAAAGTATGTAAGTATTCATACTCTTGCCAAATGTGAAGTGTTGAACTAATGTGAGTTTTGTGTATAATATAAAATATAAATAATGAATTGTATTTTAATATTTATTTATAATAAATAGTATGATTTATTATTAGAGAAAAGTTATGTACTTATTAGCTTGGTATACTTAATATATTTTCATTCAAAAGTAAAAACACAATTGGTCCTTAAATTGTAAGTCCACAAATATAAAGGATTTTAAACTCATTTTTAATATAATATTCTCTCTCAACTTTTGAGAGCGATATAATCTAACATTTATTATTAATGAAGTTAATTTTAACTCTTAGTTGATTAAAAAATAATTAAAATATTTCAAAAATTATAAAAAATAATAAACTTTTCTTGATACCTTTCTATAATTTTTTAGGTCATTGTCTGTCATTATTTCATCCTTCTTATATAATTTTTAATGTCATTTTTGTCATTCTATTATCAACTACAATTAAATTTAACTTTTATTAACGATAAGAGTTAGATTGCATTATTTTTAAAAATTAAAAAGAAATATTATACTAAAAATAAATTTAAAATTCCAAACACTCATAGACCTATAGTTTATGCGTCAATTTTTTCTTTTATTCTTTATTCAATCAAATCAAAATTGGGAATTTTAACTTATTGACAATATTAATAAAAATTGTTATAAAATAAATAATATATAAAAAAATACGCACAAATTGATTTAATTATAAATAATAAGATTAAGCATATAAATTTCTCTTTTCTATTTTTTAATTACACTTACTTCCCAAGATTATTTTGAAGGGTTAAGGAGCTACTTTGCCTGTCATTGTCAAGTTTCGGCTGTGATGTAAGTTGAAGTTCTTTAGACTATTGATTTTGATTAAAGGATTGTTACTTGTTAATTTAACACTTCAGTTTCAGTCTGTTGACTTTTTTTTCTACTTTTTGGATGAAAAGATTCAATTTTTTGACAGAAACTATGTATCTAACTCGCTTGAAATTCAGAAAAAGGAAAGGCATTTTAATAATTTCACTGAAAAATATGTTGTCTTCATGGATTATGGTCTTTTGCACGATTCATGATTGAATTTGGGACCGATGTCAGAATATTTAAACGTTTTGGTCTCATGAATAATTTTCCCAAATAAAAAAGCGTTATGCCTGAATGGGGCAGTGAATGAAAGTCTCTATAGAGACTGGTTTGGCATCACTGGCGGACCAACACGAGTCCTGAAACTATGGTTTCATGTTAAGTTTTATCACTAGAGAGGTAAATTATTTATGTCATGCGTATTATTTTAAGTTGTTGTGCATTTTTTTTTTTTTTACCTTTGTCCTTCAGGATAATTTTATAAATTTAAGACTCTTATATATAAAGTTGTTAATTAAAACCAAGCCTATTGGACCAGTCCTTTTAAGTTAAAAAATAGCTAAAACTAGGCTACTATTTTAAAGTAAAAAATGATAATTCAAACTTAAACCCTAGCTTGTACTCATTCCTTTCCTTCATCCCTCATTCATTCACCATAGCCGGCTACCCCTCATTATCTTGATCGCTACTATGGTTAGTGAAATAATTGTTAGCATTAGTTCACATATTTTGACAATGTATTAGAGTTTTTCTTCTTTTAAATAATGTTGATATTATCATTTATACTTGTAATTGGCTACATGATTTTAAGTTGAAGAGTAACTTATTATTATTTGTTTATTTTGAATATTTTTACATACTTTAAATACCTTAAAATTATGATTTTGGTTTATTGTTTGTTGCAAATAATGAGGATTTTGGTTTACTTTGTTGCTATTTTTTATTAAATTTAAATTTGTAATGGTGTGAATTGACTTAAATTCATTTTCTTGACTCAATCATATATATAATAACTTTTTTTAAGTTTATAAATATATTATTTTAGGTTTTTAAATTAGAAAAAAATAGAGCCAAAGATTGCAGGGTCAATCCAAAAGGCCAAGGTCTAGATTTGTAAAATGGGGCCTAATGTTATAATTGAACTTAACAAGACCGATTTGTATAAGCCTTGACCTTTCAATGGTTGAGCTAGCCCTAATTAATAGTTATTTTTGTGTATAAAAGAAGTTGTCATTTTGGTCTTTAAACACTAAAATATGCTTAATTAAGGTATTAGTTGTTTGTTTCAAATCATGTTTGAACCTTGCTAAAATTACGCATAGGCAGAAATTACCTTCTTCTTAGTTCTCTCAAAACTATGATTTGAGTTTTGATACTTCCAAACATATTATTGCAAAAAGTATACTCATAGGTTAAGAAATATAAGGTATTTTTTGAAAGGTGAATGTTAAAAAATATAAAGCAATTTTAGTATTTTAAAGTACAATTAATTTGCTTTTTTAAAAGTGTTTGTAATAAATAAATTACTTTATATTTATTTTAAAGTAAATATTATATTAAATAAAGATAAATATGAAAAGATGATATTAGTTTGGAGATAATTAATTACTTTATTTATGGTAAAATTTAGTTAA